ATTCTTGACAATTGATAAAACTAATATATTTAACTTTTTTTAAAGATAAATTAAGTTTATCCTAATCACAACTCGAACCTATTCATAATTCAAATTCAAATGAATACAATCCATTAAATTTTAGATTATTTATTTGATTGCAGAGGTGATAAATATTATTCCCAACATATCTTGTACATATGTTAATTTTGCAGCGTTCTAAACTTATTATGAATCTTCCAACACTACGACAAGCAACTAATTATCTAATTGGTAACCAATTAGTTAAATAATGCAATGAGTATGCAAAATTAATCAAGAAACATTAAAAAATAAACTAAACTACTAGTCTCGAATTAGAAATAAAAAAAAAATATGGCTCATCTTCATCCGATACAAAAACGGATCTAGCCTAGCATATTAATATATAAATTATAAGAAAAATGATAGAAAAATATAATCATAATCATGAAATAATTCAAAAGATGTTGATCTTCAAGTACAAGGTTGAATTCTTCAAAATTTTCATATAATTGACATCTAATTCCTTGATCGGGTTTGTTCTCATCTCTCAAAATATAGCAATTTGTCATTGTTCTTGATGAATTTGATAATATTTGTGTATGAAGAGGCAAGTGCAGGTTTTTGAATGTGTGGCCCTTGTTTTGCATTTATAAGAGTCGAGAAATAGGCAAAAATCGCGTCCAATTTAGGTTTCAAAAGAGTTTAAATAGCGAAAGGAAACTACTAATTTATCTGAGGAAATATCCCGCGCGCACAGGCATAATCACTCTCACACCCCGTTGAGTAGTTTTGTTCTCGTTAAATAATATTAAGTTTGTGCGCGCACGCGCAGGTTTGCGTCGTTTCGTCTCTACACAGTTTTCAGTATTTTAGTCATAACTTTCTTTTTCGATATTCGATTGAGATGATTCAAAGTGCATTGAAAAGATAATTCAAAGTGTTACAATTCTTATATAATACAATTTTTCCACTTCTAACGTTTTCTATCCAAAAAATGGGTCTCAAATTGAGATTAAAAATTAAGAGCATACCTTTTTCGGTGGAAATTGATTTGTGAAAATATTTAATTATATTTCACTCATTTGATCTCTTACTGCATCCAATTGATCATATGTGATCTTCAATCATCATTTTAATATCCGAAACTATAGAATGTTTAACACTTTGGTCCCAAAACTTTGAATTTCTTTCGTTTTTGTCCCTTTTTCATTCATTTCTTCCAATTCCACCAATTTGCATAGAGATCAACTTAACAAACATAATTAAGCTATAACTCATCCAAATAGCTAACAATTACTCCAATGGCCTAGAAAAAATTGCAAATCGCACTTATATTAATGAATCATTGGTTGATCATTAAATTCTCTAGGATAGGATCGTCAAATGACTCAGTTGCATCGCTTGAAGTTCTGTCGCCAATTAGGCCAAATTTTATTGTGTTATTGTCTTATTGACATGTGCGTTGTTGATACTACTACTACTACTACTTAATTCTCATATAATTACTCAAATGCGCAGCCTGCATTTTGCTAAAAATGGCGTTGCCAATTATTTTCTTTCTCCACCATATTGTTTAATGCCTTCTCTAGCAATTTTGGTGACTACTATTATTATTTGTAGTGATATAATCCCAATTATGACTAGGTACATTGCCACATTCATTCTCATTGATCGGAAAAAGTTGATGTGACAACACGTGATTGTTTCTAGGATGATGATTTAGAGAACCAACAAAAATATAATTGAAGCCTATGTGAAAATACATTTGCTCGGTGCAAATTTGGACCTATATATGAGTGTTCGAGTACATGTCCTTATTGAGTCGGCCGGTTTTTATTACTGAGCTACAAGGTCTCAATTTGAGAACAAAAGTCCACAAGGTATAGCAAGCAATACATCAAAGTACCAAACATCTTAAAATTCATATTTTAATCTAAATCAAAATCAATTATCAATTTTAGCCATATATTTCTTGGATCCTACAACTTTTCAATCAAACATTTCATCAACTTTTATCAAAATCTACTAAAAATCTAATTTTAATCCATATCCATATCAAACAGGGGGCATAGTAAGAATGCGCAATGCAACAAATACATATCATGGTTAATCTACTACTGAACATGTTTCAAACTTATGTTAGGGTAGCGACAGGGCGTATAAGGGACGAGTTGATCATTCCATTCCCCGTCCCCTCATGTATTTTGTCACCTTACCCAACCCCTATACATGGTTAAAGTGGGACAGGGTATAATTGGGGTAGGGCGGGTCACTTGTCCCCTTTTTTTTTGTGTCTTTAGTTAATAAATATTATTATTATTTAATTTATTAAAATAACTCGTGTTGTTTTTAAAAATGATGATAAATATTTTATTTTTGTTTAATAAAAAACTTAAATTTGAAATTTATTTTAAAAAGGGCGAAGACTATGTTTTCCGTACCTTTCCTGGGGGCAATTCCCACCCTATCAAGTTTACCCGGTTAGGAGGGGCGGAATCTGCAGGTATCTGGTGTTTTTTTGTCATCCCTAATTCTAGTAAGGTCGAATAAGAGTAAAGATCCGTTTGACATTATTTTTTAGAAGTTAAAAGGTGTTTTTGAGATCCAAAATTACTTTTGAATCTGTTTGACAAATTTTATAAAAGCACTTCTACTAATTATAAAAGTTTTTAAAGAAAGTTGGTCCAATATGTTTTTTTCTAAATCACTTTTTAAATAGAAAGTTCTTTTAGAAATTAATTTCCAAACGAAAATCAAGATACCTTTTTTAAAAAACTCTTTTACATAAAATAAAAATAGAAGCAAAAGTCATATCAAACGAGTTCTAAGTCAATCGTTTAACTTTCTCACTTCATCTTAGTTTGCTTTTTGATTAATCTAAGTTCGCACTCTTTGCCAAAATTATGGAACAACATGAAATGTGTTTGGTTTGGGTGAACATGTTTTCTTGCAACACAAAATCCAGTTATCAACTGAACTGAAATTTGCATGCATAGCATAGGATTCTCTTACTATGAAGAAGAAGACAAGAATGCATAGCATGTGCTTCTGCTTATATATGTCCAGTGAAAGAATTAATTAATTAATTAATGCTCGACAAAAAAAATAATTTAGTAACCAAATTTGGTCTTCTTTTTTTCTCGATTCATATTTGAAAAATATATTTGATACGTAGTACTTGATAAAATCGATCAAATTAAAATAAAAGATTTTAATTTTTTTTTCTTTATTAATATTGGAGGGTCCACCTTATCAAACTAATAGAAAAATGCATTCAAACCCAAATTTTTAGTTATTCAATACTGAAATAATTATGTTTCATCAGTAATTATATCTTATTATTGAATCGAGGTAGTTAAGTTGAGCCAATTTATCCAATGATCATTTCTATTAAACCTAATTCGAACATATAACTTAAAAAGAAACCTTTTCAAGAAAAACACTTATGAGAGCCATCATTTTTCACCTTCGCTAATTATCTAGAGAATTTAAACACACACACACATATATATGTTGACCCCAAAAAATGTTGCCAATAGATGTCGGGCCCACTCGTGTTCACGTAAGCTAAATCCAACACGTTAATGCTGATTAACGGTCAGAATATCTTCAAAATCTGAACGTGGGAGGAGCTCAACGACATGAGACGTCACCGTTCAGGCTTCCGGCAAGATAAATATAACACGATTGTATAAGAAACCAACCGATAAAGAACAAGATTTATTGTTATAATACGCTGATAAAACGAGAAAGTAATATAGCTCCAAGTAGTTAGATCAAGTTACAGGTGGCCTCATTTCCTCGATCAAGACATCAAGTCCTAACTATCAAGTTGACTCTCCTAACCTTACAAAACATTAAGTGCTCTTATATTGACAAGACAAGACACAAATACACTTTACACAAGTCACATCAATCATTTGAAATAAAGATCTTCATTATTGCTGTATCTTTCCACGTGGATCTCCACTAGCCGCAACAAAGAGGCCTCGAATAGTGCATGTCTACCGAACCGTGGCCTTAGTTAACAACAATGNTGCATGTTCGCCGAACCGTGGCTTTAGTTAACAATAATGGCCTCGAAACAAGTCAAAGCCTCGGAATCCACGTTGAAGGCTAGGAAAATATATCTCAATTTAATTAGGCTGGTCCCACTGCTAAAATATTAGTGCCACGTGTCGCTTCCGGTTTATGACTCGTAACAATATATATTGTTGTCTAAAATTCTTTGCAATGAATTTACGGGTGACAATTGAACGAGCCGACCATTCAGGCTCGATCCTGGCCATGAATAATAATAATAATAATAATAATAAGCTCATGTTTGATTTCACTAAAAATAAATTTTTTGCTAAATTTTGATAAAAAATGATGAAATGTATTTCAAAAAAATTATTAAATTTGTGGGTCTCAAAAATGTAGTAAAAATTAATTGTTAATTTTAATTTTTGTTAAATCAAACAAGTCAGATAGGAATAAATAATCGGTAAATTTCATGCAATTAACTAAGAAATTACAAATTGATCCATGGGTCGTCTCAACTCATAGATATTGGTAGAACGAGTCGAGCTAGCTCGCCAAGCTTACGAGTCGATTGCCATCCCTACACTAAATTTAATTAAAATAAATAAATAAGCGCACGCCTTTGGTGAAGCCAGCCTAGAATACAACGTATCACCTACAAAATCCCACACTCTCGAAGAGGAAAATGATTGAGACGTCCAGATTTCTCGTTCCCATAAATCATAGCCGTAGATCAGCTTGTGTACCAGCACGTTCTGACAACTCACGATAACGGTTGGTGATTACACATCTAAAGTGGGACCAATCACGTTGCTCCGTCATGCCACATCGTCTTACGCACGACAGCCCCCAACCGTTATCCACGTTCTCCTACAGTTACACTCCCTCTTAGTTTTTTGCAATCAATCATTGATTTCTTGTTTTGACCAATTAGCCCTTGCTAAATTCATCAACATCGTGCACTCCAACCCAAAATGTCCAATGTAGGCCATGGACAAGGGGATAATTACAACTTTTTTGTTAATTCTATCATATTTTGGTTACAATAATTATTGTCAAAACATTCTTTTTATCACATTTTTATTTATTTATTGTTTTTTTTTAAATGATGGGCAAATTAATCATTTTATAACATTCGACGGAGTTTTTAGACAGAAATAATAAAGACGATATGTGATAATTAATATAATATCGATGATAAGAATGTAGTGAAAAAAGTTGGTAACATAATTATACGATTAAAATGATTGAGAACTTTTAAGTAAAATTAAAATATAATGCAACAAATAAATAATGTGGTCTCATTTCAAAGCACGCTAATAAAATATTTGCATAGACATCATCGTCAGAGACAATATAAATGTTAAAGATAAGAATGAGAAGGAAAAAAACTATCGAGTTTATATTTTGAGGTATGTTTTAAGATACTATGAAAAAATATTTCTCAAAATGGAAGACTGAAAAATATGTTTGGTTTGAAATTTTTAAAAATTTACATAAGTACCAAAATCGAGGAATTTTATTGTAATTAAAATGTGGTGTAATTAATCAATAACGCGATGTGAATATAATTAGTTTTTTTTTTTTTCAAATGGATAGTAAATATTTGCTTTAAAAATATCAACAATATTTTATTGAAATTAAACAATTAATTGAAACAATACAAGACACAAAAGCTAAAAGATCAAAGAGAGCATGAATTGATGGGTGAAAGATCATTCGACTAAGACTTGGAAAACCTTTGTGGTCCAAAATTGTTATTTATTGTATTTGTTTTAATGGAAAATAATCCATTGTAAATGACACGATTTTGCTACTTGTACATCAAAATTGTACATAAGAGATTACATAATATGACGTAGATGAAAATTTTGACTGCGTTTTAAACTAATAAATGATAAAGTGACATGTGACATTATGTAATTCATTATGTAACTCGTGATATCAATTTAGCAGAATTTCAAATGACAATTGAACTTTTTTTTTCTCTCTCTCTCATTTTTAGTTGTCAAACGCAAAAGGTCCATTCATTTCACATCCCAATTTTAAATAGGTCCAACCACTATACAAGATAAATTGATAAAAATGGACAAACCATCTAACTCGATAACTTTCTAAATTTGGTTTAATTATTATTTTTAAATACATGAACAACAAAAGTTTTCGTAGAAAATATAACATATCCGACGACACAGGATTAATCTAATCTCTACTCTTTCATCCTCCGCCATAGATCCAAATTTACAAACTTTAGGAAAGTTGAATTTATCTAATCAAATCAATTGTCTATTTTATAAAATAAATCCACGACGGCATATTTTTATTCACACCAAGGAGTGGCAGTTTGGTCATTTTATAATTCTTTCCATTTCTTTTTAAAAATTCATCGACATTCTCCTCGAAAGAGAAATCTCTCTCTCCTCCTCTGTCGAACCACACAACTAGAGACAGTACACACCAACTATTGAAGAAGCAGCAAGCACATAGTTTTCGTTTTACTCCAAAAATTCACAAACATCATATAAGGTACTGGTTACTTAGGCTGCCCGAGTTTTAGCAGTTTTTATAAATTCTTCATGATCACTGTTGTGCTTGGTTTTGACTTAATTTTACTTACTGAATTTGTTGGATCTTTGCTTTATTTCGATCTTTTTTGGTTGGATTATATGTTTGAAATTAGTGTATGTTTATTAATTGTGCATTCTTGTGCTCTGTTTGGTTGTTGAGAAAATATGATGTTGAAGAACAGTGTCGACTGCTGATCTTGAACTATTCTCTATTTCTCTTCATTTGGAATTCAGAACTGGAAAATGTCTTGTGGGATTTGTTCATTTTCCGAGTAATTGAGATACATTTGTCTGAAATTACCGTGTCAACTAAAATTCTTTGGGTGATTTTTGGATTGTTTAAGGTGCATTCTGAAATGGAGTCTGAAAATGGGGTTAAAGATGAAAAACGAGATGTCATTGAGAAAACTAATGGGGAAGATTCGACTCTGGATGGGATCAAAGAAAGAGAGGAAATCAGTAAAAGCGAAGAATTTTCTGTTGGAAACGAAGTGTGTCAAAATGTATCAAAGGAAAAAGATGTTGATTCATCTCGGGCAGAGGTTGAATTGTCCCAACCTGTTTCAAAGAGTAAAGACTCTAATGATGGTGGACTAAAGAACAATAAATTGGCCAATAATCAATCCAATTCACGAGTCTCGAATGTGCTTGCCCGTAAGGCAAAGTCGAGCTTGACTCAAAGTGTTTCATTCCCAGTCCGAGGCCGTCACTCCGATGTTATGAGAAAGAGCATTGACGTGTACCCAGTTAAGACAGATTCTCATAAAAATGCTGCAAAAGTTGAGTCCCAAGTTTCTAATGGTACAGTCACTTCAGGTTCACGCTCCAATGTAGCCATTAAGGGTGTGGCAAACGGAGGCAAGGCAGCCAACCGACGAACGACCATAGCATCTGCACCAAGCCGTCAGTCTGTGAAATATCATTCTTCAAATGGAACTGCAACGAATACTGTATCTGATGCGTAAGTATTATTACTGTTACTTGATCTATGTATGTTCTGACTACTTGTTCCACTATGTAATGACAAGTCAAATTGCTAATTTGACAATCTAAGTGTTGGAATTACAGATTGGTTGAAAGGAATTCAAAATCCGCCAACTCTAAATTGCTTGTTAAGGATGAAGATGATGCTCGTTCTACTACTTCATTGTAATTTCACTTTTTAGACTCCGGATTTGTGATTTTTTCTCTCTTTGCATTTTCATGCATCTTCTTTTGGTTTTCTATTGAATTTACTTGCTTATGACAAGTTTGCCCTTCAATCAGAAATGCAACTTCTCAGACCCAGCGTGCATTCTCCTTCAGGTTGGAGCAACGTGCTGAAAAGCGGAAAGAGGTAGAAATTGCACATGCACCATTATTATAGCATTTGATCATATTCAATCGTCCCTACCAAACATGCTCCTAATTTCTACTCTACTTCTCTGATTATATGTGCATCGTGTAACTTAATATCCACTTTTATCATCAGTTCTTTTCAAAGATAGAGGAGAAAATACATGCAAAGGAAGTGGAAAAGACTAACTTGCAAGAAAAATCGAAGGTTTTGGGAATCTCTCTCACACAAAGAAGAATATGATATCTGGTTGTTCATCGACTTAGAAGACTTTTGGACCTAGTTCTTCTTATTCACTCTGTTTTTGTCTTGTTGGATTTGTTGTAGGAAAACCAAGAGGCAGAAATAAAGCAGCTTAGGAAGAGCTTGAAATTTAAAGCTACTCCTATGCCAAGTTTCTATAAAGCACCCCCTCCAAAAGTTGAACTGAAGAAGGTAAAATCCATGTATCTGTCTTAATTGCTCTATGTATGCTTTGCCGCTTTACGACGCCTAATCTCAGTTATTTGTTTCCACATCACCAGAAGCATATGATTGTTTGTGGTATCTATAAGCTCATATCTTCTTTTATCTTGTAGTTCTAATTGATACAGTGAGATCTTGTATTTATTTGCATATCTTATCACTGAAGCGATCATATTTTATATTGAACTTAAAAGAGAGCATTTAATTCTCTTTTTCCATGTAGCAAAGCCATTTTCTCTGTAGAAGCTTGTTGAAATGTTATCATGTTTGGCAGTGTGGAAATTAGTAAAAATTAATAAATTGAACTCAATATTTTCATAATTCCCAACTCCATAGATTTGTATTGCATTTGCAATAACTGCAACACAAAACAATGAGTAAAATCCCTAATTTTTTTGGGTAACTGAAATTCTATTTGAGTTTTCCACTCAATGCTTAGAAAGCAAGTGCCCAAATTTGAACCCTAAATCAAAACTTAAAAGTTCTGAATTTTAACATTTTGAATCATTGGTCTATTAGACAAAGTTTTATGATGCATATTAGATGTCATGATCGAACTAACGTGACCTTAGAAATTCAATTTTCTCTGAGTAGGTAGATTATGTTTACAGAATATTGTAATCCACCTGGAGTGTGAAGAAGCTTGAGCATATTAGGTTTTCTTGCACAATAAATCAATAATATACTTATTTTATTAATCACATCCTCAGTCAAGGACCCTCTATGGTATAAAAAATCAGTTGAAATGTCATGAGTTAAAGATTAGTGGCATTTCGGTAGTGAGGATGGATGGCATTCGACAAATTAAGAACCAAAAATCTTGTCTTTTATTGCGTCTGGTGTTACAAACCAAAACATGATGTAGCTATTCAAGCACTTTTTACTCTTTTTAACCTCTAGTTTTGCACATTAATATGATATGTTGTTGTCATTATTTTTATAGATACCGACTACACGTCCAAAATCTCCCAGGCTTGGAAGGAACAAAGGCACTGCCTCCACAGTTAGCAACTCCCTCGAAAATGAAGGATCATGTCCTGTTCCACGAGTCACTACTGGCAACTCAACAAAGTCGACTCCCAAGGCAAATGGTGTCAAGGGTAATGCTGCTCTCAAGAAGTCCGTCAAAAGTTCCCAACCCAAGTCACATTCCCAGGAATCTATTATTGACAAAACTCAAGAAAAGCCAAGCAAAGTGAAAGCAAAAAATGCAGTAACCGAGGCTCGAGACGAGAAAACTTGTGCTCAGAACTCCGAAGGAATCCCCCCAAGTCAACCTGTTTGTCACCCTGAAATTGAAGATGGGATGGAAAAGAGTCCTGAAAAAAATTCTTCTAACAATGGATCATCTCTGGCTTCAATGCCAGAGACATTGGCTGCTGAAGTCACCGTTGAAGGTTAAAGGAAGCATATCGTCTGTAATTTCTGTTCCTCGCAGGATTCAAAAAGCTCTATTATTGTGAATAATGTGGTTGTATGTTCATGTCCAGTTATATATAGGTTGTCTACAGTCTTATACAGTCGTTTGTTTTATTTATTAAACTTCAAGGAGTATTCATATATACTCTATGGCTTTTGGTGTATTGCATTGGCTGCATATATTGTATTAAACAATTCCTATCTTTTTATTTTTGGTAATATTTGTATAATTCAGAAATTGTCTACTGCGTTTATTTGCATAATGGATTCATAAGCTTAATTTCCAAGTTCATTACTTACTGTTTCTACTGTACTAAACTAATCTTCTTATTATAAAGTATCGACAAAACATCTCCATTCATCCAACTTATGCCTACATTCTATTCAATTCCTCGTTCATTATGAATAATCGAACTTGCGTCACTATCGGAACTTAAGAGACTTATATTCACAAGAGTGATGTCAAGAGAATAAATCAATAGAAGGGTAGACCAAAATTTAAAATCATTTTATGATTGCTAAAGACCGAAAAACTTCAGCGTTGTAAATCTAGCATGAAAAAAGTGGTGGTCGAAAGGAATAATGCTACTACAATAGTAATCATATATGACAGCTTGTTATTTGAAACATTAATTTCTTATAATTCTTATTCCGTTACCTTAAATAGCAAGTTAATGCCTTGAATAACCAGTTGCCACATAGAATGAATATTGTGGCCGCTGACTATAAACATCATTACTTTGTCGAATGTCCTCGTCAAAACAATGAGATACGGCAGTTTATTTGGAAAAGAACTTTTGCAGTGTAGCAGTGTTTTATTTGTTGATTTGGTATAAGTTTTCCATGTATAGAACTTGAATACTAATGGATTGGGCCCGAGCCAGACCCATGAAGACCTTTCATGGTACAACTGAAACACAGACTCGTAGATGGGTCAAGTTTTGGGGAGGTCATACTTGTGAAAAAAAAAAGAATTTTGAATAGTGATTTTTAAAAGTATGTGTGATTAAAAAGCAGAGAAAAAATTTAGATTTACGTGCATAGTATTTTATTATGTGAATGTATAGTTGAAAATGATCATATAGAAAAAAGAATTTGAAAAGTATTTTATTCAAACAAGGCTTAAATTGGTTCGTCTTAAAAATTGGATTATATGGGCATGTAAGGTTCTATTATGATTAAGAGACAATATCGAAGACATCCTTTAATTTTTATGTCGGTAATAAAGAATTTTCTCACGTTTAAAAATCACACATGTGAGGGTCTATTATAATTAAAAGACAATATCGAAGACATCCTTTAATTTTTATCTCAATAATAAAGAATTTTCTCACTTTTAAAAATCACATTACCTATATATGTATCGATGACGTGTCATATAAATCCATTAGTGAATTTTCAACTTAATTTAAATGTTGAAACCCACAATAAATTTATCCATCAATAGACTTATATGATGTGTGTGTATCAAATTTATAATTAATTGAAAATTAAATAGTTCCTTTAATAATAAATTAATACTTTGTGCAATACATAATATGGATGCTAGCTTAAATTTAAACGATATCGAACGAGCTCTCTATATAATTTGTCGAGTTATATTTTTATAGTTACTTTTCAAGAAAAAAATCATCTTTTTCTTCAAAATGGCATTTTAGATTATATATAGTTCATAAAGTGATTAGAGACGTGTGATACTCAAAACTATAAATATGGGAGGTTAGTATGATTTTTTAAACGTGAGTGAGTATTTATGATATTGTCAGGTATCTCTAGCGATAACAAAAAAGTTCGAAGGTTCGGACGGCTCAGGTCCGACTCGAAAAAGTCAGAGCCGGGCCCAGGCAAGGGCCGAGCCCCACTTTGCGGTGTCGGCTCGAGCCCGGCCCAGCTCGTGGCCCGGCTGAGCCTCCTATTACAAAAAAAAAAAAAAAGCAGACGGACAATTAGCTGTTAACAAGCGAAATTTTTAACAGCTTAAAAACTTCGGCTGTTAACACCTGAGATCTCGGCTATTAAACCGGCTGTTTTGTTTTTAATAAATTTATGTTCCCACTGTAAGGTGAAAATGTTTACAAATTCTGTTTTCCCATGCACAGATATGAGGATTATACTCCTGATTTATTATTTTAGTGATTTTGAATTGGATGAAAATAATCGATGGGTATGAAAATGGACGAATAATATACCTTCTAGTATGGCAACACATATAACATAGACTACAGCCTATTCGAAACTGTACCATGATATACAGAACAAGCAAACGTCGATTCATCTCGATACAATATGGTATTGAGATATGAATTCAGGAAAAAAAATTCATATTCAATTCCACATTTAAAAGTTACATCTGATATTCGAAATTGTACCATGACAACACATATAACATAAACTACATCGTATTCGAAACTGTACCATGATATATAGAACAAGCTAAACGTCGATTCATCTCGAAACAATATGGTACTGAGATATGAATTCAGAGAAAAATTTTCATATTCAATTCCACATTTAAAAGTTACATCTGATATTGTAGTGAATTATTTGTTTGAATTGAACAAAGCACATACGACACCAATTTAGTGACTTTAGAGAGGAAGGACGACGCGGAAGGTAGAAATGAACATTCAGATGAAGTTGATGATAATGCAAATAATTCTGGGATACAATGGAGATTGCTCGCGATAATGATGCTAATATTCTCGAGATAATTGGTCCTCATCGTAACATCACTGCAACACACATAATTCAATCGGTAGTTCAGAACAGCGATAATGCAAATGAACTTACAAATGAGGATTTAATTGTTTTATCTCATTAGAAACATGAGCAGGGTGGGAGCTTAGAGACCGGAACGAGCGGACATTCATCTAATTCTTCACATATGGTTCCCGATAGTGAAGATCTGCATGTTGAGCAATCGGCCATACTCGTTAAGCTTGTACGAGTTAGATCCCCCTGGATGACAATTAGTCGAATATATNAGCTATTTTTAGCTGTCTGCAAAGGCAACTAAGAAAAAATAATAAAAAAACAACCAAAAAATCCGAGCCGGCTCGGACCAAGCCTCATTTTTTTTTTGTCGGGCTCGGCTCAACTCGTTGATATCGCTAGGTATCTCAGATATTATCTCTAAAATTAATATATTTACCAACCGATATTTTTTATTTATAAAAAGGTAAATGAAAAATAAAAAGGGAATTGGGTCGAACTTATTTTTAGTCAAAAAAAAAAGGCAAATCATATACACGCCGCATATTTTGTTAAATTGCACCACATTTTAATTGCGATGAAGGTTCCAAACTTTTGCTCATTTTGATATTTGTCTCGTCAACTTTTTTTCATTCCTTTCTTATATTTAACCTTCAATTAATTAGCATGTCTTGTCTATATAACAATTTCTGTCCAAATATTATATTAGCATGAGAAAATTATTTTGTCAATTTTTTTGTATTTGTTGTTTATCTTACTTATTTAAAATACGAGAGGTAAATAAGTTTTTTTTACACCTCCTAACGAATTTTTTGACCGTCATTAATGATAAAATGTGCAAAATAGTAGAGGTCGACGATAAAAATACGACACGAAAAATTGAAGACATGATTATGAAATTAAACAAAAAAAATTAGATACTTTCATTGCAATTAAAATATGATTAACAAAATACGTAGTGTGAATTTACCTTAAAAAACTTAATTTTTGTTTGGACTTTTCTTTTAAACTTGATGGAACTTGCAGGTTTGGTTGGGATTGATCTATAAGATATGATTACAAGTCTTAATATACGATGATTAACAATATATTTAGACATTTTTTTGGTACAAATTCTTTAAAATTTATTTTTAACTACATGTCCGTTTAGTATAGAAGTCAATGACTTCCATTTTTTTTTTATTTCCACCTAATAATTCCATTCCGTTGGAGACAGAGACAGTTTAGCCGATTGATTAATCATTCGTAAGCTAATATTGATTATATATAAATAAATCACGCCTATATATTTTTATATATTTCAAAGTCAAAGAGGATCAATTTCTTTAGACATGTGCATCAATAATTGACACACACACACACACACACGTGTGTGTGTGTGTGTGTGTATTTTTCCTGTTTATTTTATTTTATTTTTATTTTTTTGTGATAAGAGGGAGACTGGGCACCTTCTATGAGAAACCATATTCTAACTACTACCACTAATGTAGTGTGTTTGATAGCATGGGTTTTCCATGAAAATTTTCCATGTCAAAAATTTGGTAGTGTTTGATGTCAAAAATTTTTCCTGCCAATTGTGGAAAAAAATTTCACCTCACGCGCCATTTTCTAGGCGTGAAGTGAATTGAAATCGAATTCTCACACATATATATATATTTTTTAATGGAAACAAATTTCATAACCAATTGTAAAAAAAAAAAATTCACTTTAACGGACAATTTTCATGTAAAATAAAGCCAAACAAATACTAAACTTTGATTGAAAAAATAATTATAATTGACACACACACACACACACGTGTGTGTGTGTGTGTATTTTTCCTGTTTATTTTATTTTTTTTTTATTTTTTTTTTGTGATAAGAGGGAGGCTGGGCACCTTCTATGAGAAACCATATTCTAACTACTACCACTAATGTAGTCTTTGATAGCATGGGTTTTCCATGTCAAAAATTTGGTAGTTTTTGATGTCAAAAATTTTTCATGCCAATTGTGGAAAAAATATCACCTCACGCGCCATTTTCTAGGCGTGAAGTGAATTGAAATCGAATTCTCACTTTTTTTTTTTGCAATGGAAACAAATTTCATAACCAATTGTAAAAAAAAAAAAATTCACTTTAACAGACAATTTTCATGTAAAACAAAACCAAACAAATATTAAATTTTGATTGAAAAAATAATTTTTTAGGAAATTTTTTTTTTTTTTTTTAACTTTTTGACAATAGAAACAAATTTTATACCCAATTGTGAAAAAAATTATCACTTTAATAGATA